TTTCCAATCTTATCTGTTATTTTTCTGTGTTCCCTGAAGAATGTTCTGGAAGTTTGTCTCAGTCCTGGAATTTTATCCGAACACATCTCAAGTATTTGTCGCGTGCACCAAAAACATAAAACCAAAAATCTGCGAAACAATCTCAACATTTTTGGGAGATTTTCTAGATTCTGTTCGGATTCATGGTTAGGCCATTTATTGTCTTTTCCATGTTTGTGTCTTTCGATATATTTAACCGCGTTCATATTTTCCCCAATGTAATTTATAAGCTCATTCTATTCTGATTCATAAATGTCCATTTAAAAATCAGTTTTGCGAAAAGTCTTTTTTTTTTTAAATATTCACAAGTGACCAAAAATACGTACATGATGATTTTAAAATTCAAAAATTGTTTCATTTTTTACTTCAATTATAACTCCCCAAGAATAGGCCAACTTGTAAACATGTTGCTATCTCCTGTCATCTTCTATTTATTTATTTTTAGATCTAAAAATATAAACATTTGACCTATCTTGTTTTTGCCAGCTGTGTCACCGACGACAGATGAGCGGGGGAAGGCAGGCGGCCATGAGCCACCACTATTTCCCCTTCCGGGCAAAACTACCTTTTTAAATGGTATATTTAGGGCCTTTGGGGTGGGATTTTCAAAAATTCAGTCGCGTCACGCAAAAAAAGCACAACTCAAATATATTCTACATAAGATTAATATATTGATATATTTTAGCAGGTAAACTAAGTCATTTTTCGTATTGTGGGAGCAGAGAAAAATTGTTCAGAGTAGTCTGAAGAATAAGAAAATATTATTTAAAGATTTGAATATTTAAATATTTAAATATATGATTTTTGGCGTGACAAGGCTGGATTTTTGAAATTCACACTTTAAAGGCCCTAAATATACCATTTAAAAAAGTAGTTTTGCCCGGAAGAGTCAAATGTGGTGGCCCGGATGGGGAAATAGTGGTGGCTCATGACCGTCTGCCTTCCCCCGCTCGGCAGATATCAAGATTAAAAACAAATCGCGGCATCGTGTACACTGTACAGAGTACACACCACCGCGCTATTTTGTTTCGTGTATTTCAATAAGTTCCAAATTCCTAAAGGAATTTACGACATGAGCGTGAAATCAAAGTTTGGCCCGGGGAAAATCAAAACAAGATTTAAATTTGTGAATTAGGGTCTGGCACCTCCCCCAACAACAGTTTTTCAAGTTATACATTTTCACATTATTTAAGAATATGTCTCTTCAGATCAGTATGAAGAAATTGTGTCAAATTAATAAACACGTTGGCAAATATCTGTCAGGGGTAAAAATTAGAGGACAAAATACATCTGTACAGTGCACCTCAACGCATAAACATATCTGAACATTGCACCTGCGTGCAAAAATATATCTTGTACAGTGTACCTCAATGTAAAAATATATCTGTACAGTGTACATGAGTGCAATTAAACCATCTGTAAATGTACTTCTGCGGAAAAAAACCTAAGTACAGTATATCTGTGCCTGAGTTCACATGAAACCTTGTACCTGGTATACTTGTATCACCCTGTATCTAATCTCCAGTGAAAAGGTTGTATTAATCCTATTCTTTAGTTTGAACCCGGAGAAAAAGGTGTTTATGATATCTGCAGATACACTCACTCCCCCACTGGGTCTAGGCTCATACATCAAACCCCCTTCCCTCCCCCCCTTCTTATTCTTTCCCTCGCTTACCCTTTTCAGCTCCGGCCCCATGGGGGCTATCCCCCCCTCTACCTTACTCACCTGCACTATGCAGTTCAATAATAAACAACACATTCTCTTAACCTGCTCAAACCTTGTTCCTTAAACTCTTCCACACATTCTTTCTCATTTGATATACCCTTATTTTGTCCTTCATATTTCAATTCTTTCTCATTCAATATGTCCTCAATCCTCATTCAATTTGTCCTCAATCCTCATTCAATTTGTCTTCAATCCTCATTCAATTTGTCCTCAATTCTCATTCTATTTGTCCTCTTCAAGTCAAATCTGTAGTTGATGAATCGACCTTTTTTTGTAAATTCATCCTTATATTCTACATATTTATTAAAAAGATAGCTCATCTTTCTTTTTATAGTCCATTTTATTTTCTGTAATTACTACTAATAGTAATATGATTCATGTGTAGATCTTTCATAAGAATGATTTTAATAATCACACTTCTGATCTGGATCTTAAACTTTATCGTGATTAAGATGTCAATCCAAGTGTTTCCGTGCTTTGACTGATTGATGGGATACAAATTCAGGTTCAGGTTCTCTAGGTACCCTGAATATCTGTATTTATTAGAACCAGGCATACTCCGACTAGGTTCTGGTTCTCTAGGTACCCTGTTTATCTGTATCTATTAGAACTAGGCATACTCTGACTAGGTTCTGGTTCTCTAGGTACCCTGTTTATCTGTATCTATTAGAACTAGGCATACTCCGACTAGGTTCTGGTTCTCTAGGTACCCTGTTTATCTGTATCTATTAGAACTAGGTATACTCCGACTAGGTTCTGGTTCTCTAGGTACCCTGTTTATCTGTATCTATTNCCCCCCCAGCCCTTGCCCTAGAGCAAGAAGGCAGGAATTCTATGGTTGAGTGTTTAAAGATATTTTAATCTAATTACTCTGGATGACAGGGTAGACTAGTCTAGCTCCTCCTCCCACCAGGATACACTGACCAATCAAAATCAGACCCTGATACAAACCAACTTAAACCATTACAAACCAAAAACTTAACAGACAAATACCAAACTTACGTCTTATCAAAATCAAATCTAAACCCTGATACATTTTGGCTAAGCTAAATCCAAACTTAAACCTATCAAGACCAAACCAAACCCAAACCCTGATCAATCCTCTCTTAACCCAACCTGAACCCTGATCCATCCTAACCTAAACCCTGATCCGTTCCTTTTTAACCCAACCTGAACCCTGATCCATCCTAATCTAACCCAACCTAAACCCTTATCCAACCTGAACCCTCATTCATCATAACCTAACCCAGCCTGAACCTTGATCTGTCCCCTCCTAACCCAACCTGAACCCTGACTCATCCTGACCTGACCAAACCTGAGCCCTAATCCTTCCTTACCAAACCTACCCTGAACCCTCTGGTCCATGTTGATCAAATCAAATGTAAACCCTGATAATCCTGACTCAACCTGAACCCTGATCCATCCTGGCAAAACCAGCTCTGAACCTTAAAACATCCTGACCAAACAAATCTGAGCTCTGATTGATCCCGACCAAATCAAGTCTAAATCCTGATCCTTCCTGACCTCACCAAATCTGACCCATGATCCGTCTTTTTCAAACCTGAATCTTAGTATATTCTAGCCGAACCGAACCAAGAACCTTGCAGTCATCACACTTTATAAAAAAATAGAAAATTCTTGTGGAAATGAGCAGGACGAGTTCTGACATTGATTGACTTATCGGAGATATTTAAATCAAGCAGTTATTTTAATACGCTTAAAAAAGTAAGTTCTCTTAAATTTTTGGCTCAATTGGAAAATTTTCATCTTTAAATAGTCAAACTTGATTTTGTCTGTTATTTTTAACCAGATATAAATGATTGAATCTAGATGTATAAGTTAGAGAAGTGTAAGTTAAGGTTTGGGCGTTTTGTTGATAATCTCTCTTAATAAATAAAGCAGACTGATCTAGAAATTAAATTCCAGGTTTGCTTTTTAGCTACACGGTTAAAGGAATGGAGTATTTTCTCACAACCAGATTTTCTAATTCCTATATCTTTGCAACTTGGTGGTGTAAACCTTTGATATTTCAAACTTGGATTATTTACTCAGAATTGATAGTTTGAAATATCTAAGGTCTTCGACATCGGGTTGCAAACTATCTGCATGGCTTCAATTTATCACGCCAAGATTGAATGTAAACAAATACACACTCCACTGGGTGTGTTACACAATTGTATAAGCACAATTAAAAAAGGTAAGACATGCTTTGCAAGATTATAGATTGATTGTAATATTCAAGACACTTGTTCTAGTCGCTTAATTTGGGAACACCCTGCAGGTTAACATTTTGGAACACCCTGCAGTTTAACATTTTGGAACACCCTGCAGGTTAACATTTTGGCAGATTTCTGTAAAATACTATGAAAGAGAAATCTGCAGAGAAATTCAGCAGCAGCAGACTGAAGAAGAAAGATTGAGCATTGTGAATTATAAATGCTCTAGAAACTGAATTTGAATATCATTAAACTCCACATGAAGCTCCATCCTTCAACTCTAGTCATATATCTGCATTATTTCGCAGTTAGAACTCCTAAATCTTGATGATACATATAAACTAGGTGTTCTATCTTTTATGCATAAATCCTTTTATGAAAACCTTCCAGCTTCCTTCCAGGATATGTTTAATTCTTTTGCTGAACCAATTAGAACAAAATCATATAAACTTGAAAAGGTTCTCTTTAAAACTCTAGAATGTTTTTCCTCTGCCTTATTTCCAAAAATATGGAATTTGATTGAATTAGAGCTGAAAGAAACTAAATCTGCAAAATCGTTTAAAAGAAAAGTCGCCAAGATTTATTTAGATAGTTATGCAAATTATATCTGTAAAAAAAACCATGTATCATGTGGATAAACTTCGTCTTTACTATCTTCCTCACCCTGTAGTTCATAAACATGATTTTAATAACTTATGTTACCCTCTGTTCCAACCCTTACGCTGAGTATCCTCCCTGACCTTTTTCCTGATTTATCATCATTCTTATGTTTAAAATGTACAATGTAAATTGTTTTTATCTGCAATTCTCATTCGTTTATAGTGGGCCAACCAATTAAAACAACCTACTCTGGTTAGGCGGGTTCAAACTACGTGGTAAATTGTGATTTTTTTATTTGTATTATCTCGTGCTTTTGTAGTTGAAGAAAAATATGAAATATGAACTGGAATGTGTAATTATTGATAAAACATAGACTGAAAAAAATAAGTTTACAAGGAGAATATTCATTATTCTTTGATCTATATTTATTTATTTGCACTGTTTTAAAAACTGAGTATTTTGACGATTTACATAGTTATATATTAAGTAAAATAATGTTACATAAGGAAGATCAAGGTTTGGGTTCAGGTTTGCTCTCAAGCTCAGGAATGCATCTAAAGCTGGAAGGTTCGGGTTGCGGAGCAAGATAAGGTTTTTTATCTGAATGAAAAACTGCAGTTGTTTAAAACATTTGATGTGAGGTTGAGATTGGATATCCGGAGTGGTGGTGAGGGAAGGAGGAGGAGAGAAGGGAGGGGGCGTGGTTCATGTGGGCGGGAATATGAAGGGAAGAGGGCGTGTACCAGTTGGAGAGTTGAGGTTTGTACTCACTCAGGTTGGATTTGTACTCTGATAGCTCCGAGAGCTGGGCAGGAGGTTTATACTCCGGGAGGGAGTTCAAAGAGCGCGGAGAAGGTTGGCTCATGTGAGGAGAGGGTTGGGAAACTGGGTTTATATGAGGAGATGGAATAGAGGGAGGGTTCATATGAGGAGATGAGAGTGAGGTTGAATGAAGAGAAGGAGAAGTAGCTCCAGAATCATCGCTATCATATCCAACCAGAGCATCTTTACCATGTATCTTTAGATGCTTACGGAGAGAGGACGGATGGGTGTAGGTTTTATCACATCCCCGGATATTACAATAGTAGGGTTTATCCGTGGTATGAACATGCATATGTTTTTTTCTATCACTGGAGTTGGCAAATCTTCTGTCACAACCTTCAATCTCACACTCAAACGGTTTCTCGCCTGAAACAATGAGAGAATTGAGATATATGAGGGATAAATTAGGGAGGGTCAAGTTACTCTGCTAATTATCCTACTCCTCCTACCTACCATCCAGGACATGGATATTTAAACCTTGCCAGCTGACCGGAAGGGGGGGGAAGACCCCCAGGAGGGAGGGGGGGGGGGTCAATATGTATCAATTTTCTTGACAAATAAAATTCCAACTAGGTGACAAGAGACATATGAATTGTTGAACCGAAGTTCCAAGTTCATGTAAACTTCCGTCGAGATTAATTTGTTAGAAACTAGAAATAGTTAAAGGTGAAGGGAGGGGAGGGGAGGGGGGGTTGATTTAATGAACTGTCGTAAAGATCTGGTTAATGTGCAATCTTGTCGAAAAATAAACGATTTATTTTACCTCAGTTTATTCTGAGCAGAGAAATGTTTTAAAAACAAACTGGGGATGATTTAGTAGGATAGAGGGGACAAATTTGGGGAGCGTGCCTGCAAGTTTATTTTTGTTGAGGAGGGAGGGGGGGG